AACATATATATAGGACTTTGTCCTATTCACTTAAAGAAAATAAAAACACTTTAAAATGATTTTCTTCTTATAAGTGAAAAATAAAATAAAATCAAAGACAAAGAAAAAACAATAGAAAAGTTTTTTTTTTCACCAGGGTGACCCCTACACTTTCATTTGCCTTTTTATTTTTGGGTACACTGTAAAGCAGCTGTTGAAGTTGTGCCACCCTGGGGAGGAAACGGTTAAAAAAATGAACCATTCCCAAAAACTCCTGCAGGGCCTTCACAGACCGGGGATGTGAAAATTTGGATATTGCATGCAACTCATTTTTCAACAGAACAGCACCACTAGCGAAAGTGCTGTGGTCCAAAAAGTCTAACCAAATCCACTTTAGAAAAAAATTGAGGTCCCAGCGAGGTAAACAGTAAAAACTTGGATGTGTGGGATTGGGTAACAGTCATTCTCTATGACATTATTAAAGTGGCCAAAATTCTTACAAGGTTGCCACTGGCTGTCTGACTTGGGCACCATATGTAACGAAGAAGCCCAAAGACTATCAGAACACTGCACAAACCACACTCTATCATCGCAAACTCTTGCCAAGTGATAGCCAGCTTAGTGGCATCAAGGCAGCATACACACGTGAAAACCAAATGTCCTGTCTGGGGGATAATATGCTCTACCCCATGCTTTTTTCATTGTTGAGAAAGTTTGGAATAATCAATTAATCTGATAACAAAAGCTGAAAAACATCTCCAGAAGCTAAAAAGTTATTACTTCAGCTCCTCGCAGCAACAACAAAACTCCACTGAAAGTCCCTGTCATGAAATTCAACCTTTCACCCAACGTTTTGATGGAAGAGACATTGGCCGCAGTCAGCAGCGAACCACAGCCTTCTGTCAGCCTGTTGGAGCCTGCCAGGAGGACGAAGCCCTTCTGTGAACTGGAATAAACCAGAAAAAGCTTCCCCGACCAAAAGTATTTTATGAAAAACAGCCTTTCCTTGTTGTCAGTAGCTGTGTTTCTATTCAATTTTAATTCGAGTTTTGAGTGAATTTTTAAAATTTCACAAAAATGTAAAAACAAAAAAATGCAAATCAGACGTTTCCATCAACTGGCTTGAAGTGAATCAGTTACGTCAGACGCATGCGTGTAGTATACAGGAAGTAAAAGTCGCATCTCAGGAAAATGGAGAAAAGTTATCAGGAACGTGTTTTGTATTGTCGGGAAAGTTGTAATTATTCTGTCATCAACTAGTTTTGGCTATTTTACATGCAGTCGGGAGATGTAGAGAAAGTAACGTGATTCTTTTCACGTTATGGGATTAACTGAGAATACACCGACAGCGGGAGGAGGTTCCAGCTGCGAGTCATGGCTGCACTCGCTCTGGTACCGGACCGGTTTCGGACTGACAGCAGGAACAGCTGATCAACATTTGAGGTAAATGTTCGCTACGTCAGACCTGATACGAAAAATGTGTTTCCATCTCCTTTTTTGCACATTAACTCTTTTTCGAAAAACCCAAAAACCACCTCAAGCGAGCATATCAACTTTGATGCAAATTAGAGGAAGTTTTTTTCGAATCAAGCCATTTCCATCCACCTTTTCTAATGCGATACTTCAAAATGCGCATTAAAAATCTTGATGGAAGCACAGCTAGTGGTCACATCTGTTACAGAGCACTGGTTGTGTCATTTCCCTACAGTTTGAAGCTGGCGGGAGGTAACACTGCTGTGATGCTGAAGCGATGGTTGAAAAGACAAAAAGCAGTTCCCCAACCACTGACAGGTTGTCAGGCTTTAAGGATGTCACCAGAAGCTTGGAAGATGCCACTGGAGATTCAGGAAAAAATGCCTGGACTGCGAAGCTCCTTGTAGGAGATTTCTTCCGCTAGTCCCTGGTAGTCCTTCTGCAACAGTTACAAAGAGTTGGCAAGAACAGCCTGGAGCACTGGAGCTGGAACCTGTCAAAGGAATAGGTGGATCCATCTTTTGAACCCAGCAGGAACAACATGCTCTCCATCAGCTCAAGAGCTGTGCCAACACCCAGCTGGAGAGGGAAAGGAGCTTCTCTGTCCTTTCTGCTTTGGAAAGGGAGTAGCACCATGGAGCAGCTGCTTGTGGGTGGCATTTTTTCCTGTGTGCCATGGGGTTCTGTACCAGGATCATCCATTGCTGGGTGGATATTGGATCCAGCGAGGCAACAACATTGTGGTATTTTATGTTATCTGAGAAAATCACACAAAGAGTGTTATGATTGGCTGCCTCATTGTTTCCTGCACCTCTGCACACCTGAGGAAAATTTTCCTAATGAGCCACTGGGGCTTTATAAGACATCCTGACTGTCAGATCTTCACTGATACATCTTACCATTCTGGTAGTGTTCAAGCCACACTCAGTTTTTAAGTTTTGAAGATTGTTCTTACTTTCATGTCCTGTTTCCTAAGGTGGATTTACCTCGCTTCCAATCAGGTTTGACAATCATTACCTCCTGCCAAAGCCAAACGCCTCGAACACCTCTTCATATTAATGCCACGCTGCCTAAAACGGAACTCACCAGTGTTTTTGGATTCCTCCTCTGTTCTGTGCTGCTCGCCTCTATAAGACCTGTAAAACAAAAGACACTTATATCAACATTCTATCATCTCTGAAAAGAGAGACTGAACTTTTCAATATACTCACCTCATATCCTCATTCCCTTACAGCTGATGACCCACTGCCCTGCACATGTAAATAAAAAGCACTTACCTTTTATTTTATGTCTCCTGGTCTGGTTCCTAGTGCCGCTAATTGTTGAACAATTTTGTAAATCATATTAGAATGTATCAGCCAACAAGTTCAACAAGGTGAGCTGGGACAGATCCAGTAGCCATGAATATTGAAACTCAACCACTTAGACACTCATGAAACATATTTACAACAATTAATTTCACAACAACAAACTCCAGTAGTGTTTTGGAAAGATTAAATGCTCATATGGTTGCTATAGATAACAAACTGGCTACCCTCCTGCCCTCTGCTGCCGCTCCCGTCTCTGTTGTTTCCACTACTCCTGTTGTTCATAGAGAACCAGAATTCCGTCCCTCTGAGTTCTTCGACGGAGATTTGGACCATTGTGAAGGTTTCCTGCTTCAGTGTCATTTGGCAATTTCCAGATCTCCCTCCTTGTTTCCCGACAGTAAAGCAAAAATCACTTACATTGTTAACGCCCTTAAAGGAAGAGCCCTTAGATGAGCTCATGCTTTGATCCAGTCTCATTCATTTGAAACGCTAACCTGCCTATGTTTTCTTCAGGAGTTCAGAAGGGTTTTCGATCATCCTCTCCCGGAGGAGGCAGCAGCGAAGAGGATCCTGTCTCTTCGTCAGGGGAGGAGGTCAGCTGCAGATTATTCCGTGGACTTCCGGATCACAACAGAGAAGACCAGCTGGGATGATCTGGCGCTTAAAGGTGTTTTTCTGAATTCTTTATCCGACCAATTAAAGGATCAGTTAGCAACAAGAGATGAACCTCGTAGTCTCGATGAGTTAATTAACTTAACCATTAAGATCGATAATAGACTCAGAGAGCGCAAACGTGAAAAGGACTCCAGTTCCCATCAGCCTTGGGTTTCCTCTTCTCGCCCCACTTCCGTGTTTTCATCAACTGAATCAGCTACATCTTTGTCTGAAGCAGAACCCATGCAGCTCGGTAGAGCTCGTATTTCTCCTGCAGAAAGACAGAGACGCTTCGAAGCCAGAGAATGTTTCTACTGTGGTTCAAAGGATCATTTCTTTGCAAAATGTTCATCGCGGGTAAAAGCCAGGACCCATCAGTAAAGGAGGCAGTTCTGGTGGGTCATGCTGATTTAAAATCTGTCTCACGCTTTACTCTACACACCACACTGATACACAAACAAAGTAAAGTCACTGTTCATACCTTGGTGGATTCGGGAGCTGAGCAAAATCTTATCTCTGCTGACTTGGTTAAAGAATTGAATATCTCTGTAGAGAACATTGACCCCCATCTGCCTGTGATTGGAATAACCGGAGAAAACATCACCAGGATTTCTCATAAAGTAAACAACCTGCTAGTCCTCACATCTGGTAATCATTGCGAAGAGGGTGTTTTTTTGTGTTTTCTTCCCCCACTTCTCAACTCATTTTGGGTTATCCATGGTTTAAGAAGCACAATCCCACATTT